AATGACGTCAAAAAAGGTGCGTGTGTTTTTGCTTTATTCTATAAAGTTTCACCCCCTCGAAAACTGACATAGACCTAGAAAATATTTTATCTGGCTACAGAGAAATAAAAAGCATCCATACTACTTATTTTTAGCGCACAGTTAATGTCGATTTGAAATCAGGGCGTTCAAAGTCAGTCACGTCGAACAGTGACGTTTATCATGTGTTTTCAATTTTCATTAAGGCATATTTTTCTATATATAGACGTCACTTGATGACGCCGTAGTGAAGTGTTTCTTTAAGCAAAAGACTCATTGACGTCTTATGAACGGATTTTTATAGTAAATTGTATATCCTTGTTTTTTTTCTGATTATCAATAATAAACTTTACCCTAAAAGTGTGATATTGCAGAATAACAATCTAATTGCTACCTGAACATACCTGCGCATATCCTGATCCTATTTATCAAAATTAAAAAAAAAAAAAAAAGAAATGACATAGACGAGCTTTCGATCTTTTTGAGAAGGTTTATGTATTTTCTTTGATTTAACAAAGAACTGTGAACAAAAGTATTGTTCTGCCGCCTACCTTCAACTCAATTTTCAAAAGTAAATATATTGATTTCATTCTTCATTATTATATAGTTTTTCATACTAATTGTTAGGCCATTATTTACACACTGAATTTTCGACAGATTTTTCCGTTATTTCCCGATCATGACAGGGAGCATACGGCGGGTGTAACCGGTCGGCAGGGGATGCTCACTCCTCCATGGCACCTTATTCCACCTCTGATGTTTTGGATGTCCGTGTTTGCACTGCTCCTATTTTGTAATGTTTTATGGACTTTTGAGCTTGAATACGGTTCGTTATCTCCATATATTTCATTACAGGCAAAAAACTGCAAAAATGGCCATTTAATCACCAATATAAATGAGATTACAAAAAGGTACGTTATTAATTTTTATATTGAATTTTACCTAATCAACTTACGGAACGATTTAAAGGTCATTTATCCATTTCCATCCATATTTCAAAATCTGGCGATGTTTAAAAACCCGATTTCAATTGATAAATTTTTCAACCCCCCTTATGAAAGGAGTTATAAATAAAAGCAGTTATCTTTTTGACACTTGTTTATCAATTAATAATGACCTCTTCTTTGTTTTTAAACACGTTTTGATACCAAAATTGCCATTTATATTGAATTGAATTATACGGGTATAAAATATAGGCAGGAATCAATAGTTAGCCAGCGTTTATACGGTCTTATCCGAAGGACTGACCTGGATCCCACAGTGGGATTCGAATCCGCGACGTAAGGATTAACTCCTTACTCCGCGACTCTAGAGCAGACGCTCTACCACTGCGCCGCGCGGGTGACTATCTGTTCTTGTTATTTTCTTTTTATCTCGTAGCCTACTAGGAATTTTAAAGCAAGAACATACTTTCATCATTAGTTAACTAGTAAAATTTCAGAACTAATAGCCTGTTCATACATGTAATCAAATTCTAAATGGAATGAACGAAACAAGATAATACTGATTTTTAAGGAATAACAAATTGTACTATTGGATTATTTAAAAAAAAAAAAAGAATGTATTGATGAATTTTATCACCGGAATTGCAGCACTAAGTGTGGTGAATGCCGTAGTGAATTTTGTGAAAAACGAAAGCTGCTTAAATGGTTGCAAAATAAACTGGAAAGAACCCCTATGTCAAGGTAGGAATGTTTTTCTACTGTTTGGTAAGAATACTCTACATTTCTTTCCATTGCTTATTAAAAATTCTCTGGTAAATCCAAAGGACCGTATCAGAGGAGTTAGAATGAATGGTTTTCAATTAAAGTCTCAATATATGTTTCGCTGTGGACTTTATCATAAGTATATATACATACTCGTATTTGTCCACGAAATAAATGTGGTTTTATATCGCAAGTTATTTTTATGTCAGTAACATTACTGGTTAGGTTGTGGAGTTAGATGTCAATGACACTTGGATGTCCCTTTTCCTTTGTAAGGGCCGCAAGGATGCCTGGCTCCTCTGGTCATCTCCAGTAATGATGAAACAAGAGTATTGTTATCTTTTTTCTTGAGCACATTTTCAGGTGATGGTTCATCCTCGAAAGTGGTTGGCTCTGGAAGGTTAGACCCCCCCCCCCCCCCCGCACATTTGTTCCATTAACCTATTAGGTGGTTCGCATATAATCTGTCTTTAGAAGTAAAGGGTCCCTGGTCAGCTGGTGGTGATTCTAAATCCTCATCAACACCCCTGGGTTCCATTTCGTGCAGAATTTCCAGAATAACCTAAAATATCTGTTTGAAAAAATAAATTGTAAAAATCAAGTAGATTAACAAGAAAAATACTTTTTTGGAAAAAAAAAAAGTGGAGGGAAACAGCCCCTCCCGAAGTGATACTTTTTTGTTTTTTATGCATTTATAGCACATGTGCAATGTACTTTACTACTTATGAAGTCAGTGTAAGTTATTGTTAGGGCCTATTTGTATGTATGTATGCACGAATGTAAAAAAAAGAGTTTTATTCAGTTAGTATAAGTATCCTTTAATATACATATAACTTACATCGGCTCTCTGGCGTTTCACATAAGAGCCCTCGACTTTGGCGGGAAGGTAATGGTTGCATTTTCGTTCTTGAACCTCTGTAAGGAAAGAGGGATGTCCGGCTTTGAATCGATCTGCAGGCGAATTCTGGCTCCTAAGTACCCATTCTCCTGAAGTTTTTCTGGGTCCCTGTCTAGCTGGGCCTGGAACACAAGCAGTTATTCTCCTTAGGCACAATGTTCTCACGGAGACAGAAAATTGTCCAGCTTTTCTTCTGCCCGCATCCTTTGGAAATCAAAAGAAACTCAGGTCGGATTCCTTCCTCTGCCTACTGTTACACCCAAAGGCGGCACAAAACGGCATGATCCCACTTTCATTAATCCGATAACTATCCCACTATCATGAAATATGAAGATAACGAACAGTATTCAATCTCGAAAGTCCAATGAAACGATACGAATTAGGAGCAGAGCAAACACGGGCTTCAAACTTAGAAATGGGATCAGGTGCCATAGAGGAGTGAGCAACCCCTGCCGACCGGTCACACCCGCCTTGTGCTCCTTGTCATGATAAGAAAAAATGGAAATATCCGTAGACAGTTCAGTGTGTAAATAATGGCCTAACAATCAGTATGAAAAACGTCAGCATTTGTCTCAATGACAGGTTGTAGGTGCTGACAAGGTCATTGTATCCGAACTCGCAAAATCAGCTTTGTTTAAATTTTTAATCATTTTGGTTTCATTATTTCACAAATAAACAATTCATTTTCAATTAAAATTTTGAAACTCTACATGCAAGTAATGTCCTTTAATCTGTTTTATTTATAGAATGTGCTGACGGTAAATATGGCCAGAAATGCAGCACCAAGTGTGGAAATTGTCTTGAAGAATTTTGTGACAAGAAAAACGGAATATGCTTATTTGGTTGCAAACTGAACTGGAGAGAGCCTTTATGCCAGGGTAGACCTCTTGATAATTTAAACCTGATTACGCTATATATGTATTTACAATAACTTCATATGTTATTTACATGTAGCATATATTTGTAATTCGTGATATTATTTTTTTTATACATTTCATAATCAGTCTTTTTTTAAACTTAAGAATGTATTGACGGCTATTATGACCAGAATTGTAACACCTTATGTGGACGTTGTCGAGAAGGATATTGTGACAAAAAAATGGAACTTGCTTAAAAGGTTGCAAAACAAACTGGAAGGAACCTCTTTGCCAAGGTGAATATGTCTGAAATGTTTTAACCATATTTAAAAGGAATACTCATTAAGAGAGAGAATAATATGTTTTTTCTTAAACGTTTCTTAATAATAAAGATGGAGAGTCCTGTCATCTTTTCTCTCTTTTCAATTAATATTTCCTTTATGAACAGAAATCTGCGAACAGACTAGGCTAAAAAGAATTTTTTTTTTAAAAAAAGTAAATTTTAACAAAACAAGAAATTTTCGATTGGGTTCATTTTCAACACCATTAGGTTCATTTTCAACATGATCATTAAAGATATTCTGATAAATTAATGCAGCAACATTTAAATCTTGTTTACTGTCACTAACATATTGCTAGAAATTTAGACAAAAAATTTAGACAAAAAAAATTAGAAACACCTCAGGTATACATGTAGACCAACCTATAGGCGTCAGAAGCATATTAAAAGAAGAGACCAGAAGTTAAACGAAGCAAATCGAGGAAAAGGGAAAGGGTGGTGGCCTAACTTAAACAAATGCAACATAAGGAATAGATTTGCACAATTTATTTTGGCGGTATACTCCCACATTTTCTCCATCTTTCCAATACCTAAGTATAATACCTTCCGTATACATTTAAATAAACATTGGTCTAAGCTGATTCTGGCACTTCAGATTCTCTCTTACACAGCAAAATGTGCCACATACGTATCACATACGTTAAACGAATGTGATATGTACGTGACTTCACGTACGTATCACATGAAAAAAGCACCACGTATGTTAAACGTACGTTTTCACACGCATGAATATCATGCGTGACACGTACGTTAAACATACGTATTGACTACCATACGTTACACACATGTTGCACACGTACGTTATTCATACGGTTCACGTATGAATAACGTACGTTCAACGTGTGTGTATCGTATGTTTCTAGAAACATGCGTTTAACATGTTTGTTAAATGCACTGCTCATATGATAAATGTATAAGTATCATACGTGTGCCAAACCATGGTTAAACATATGTTTTGACCACCGAACATTCTTTTTCACATATATATTGTAAACATGCGTGAAACAAAAATGATGTGCAATTAAAATATTCATTTCATGCATTTGACATAATTTTCTTCAGGGGCTTATTTTCTTTTCATCTGTTGAATGATCCACATTTTGAAGGTACATATCTGGATATCCTTCACCTCAAATTTCCTGATCCTAATTGCTCTTTAGGCAATCACAACAAAAGACATATTCAAATTTAAGCCAATTTTAATGTTGAGATGTTAACATCAATTCATTCTTCTGCAATTCCCTTTCATCTGTAAAGAAAAAGAAAATATTAAATGAATTTGCATATGGAAAAACACATAGTTTTTTTTTCAGAACATTTTTATTTTCTACATATAACTCCTGGTTGACTTCCTTTAGAACTAAACGAGAACTGTCCAATAATGACAAATACCCCCCACTGGGTTTTTCAGAGAAGATGCCAAGTCACTAATACTAGTATTTTAGGATCTAAAAGGTGTTCAAAAATTGTTTATACATTTAGAGAGAAAATTTACCAGTAATTGCTCATTATATTTTTTTAATGAATGAAACTTTGGCATAGCCTAGTAAAACAGCAATACTAATAATAATATTGTTTTTTATTACATTGAAAAATTAATAACAATTTTTGAAGTATTTCTCTGTTGGAAAGTATGGATGCATTATTTATCCATTTTTTCTGCAGTATGTGACTATAGGTCAGGATCATGACACACCCTCAGGTCATAAACAATCTTTGTGTGAAGTGGATACTCCCAACATCCAAAATTATCCTCCATAGGAAAGATACAGACCGAACACGAATTATGAACTTTTTCTGTCAGTGACCTTGAACTTGCCCAAATGACCTTGGGTCAAGGTGATGACACACCCGCAGGCCGTAAGAAATATTAATATAACATATGGTTTTGTTGTTCTTGAGCAGAAATTTTTTAAAGATTTTTCCCTACATATGCCTTTGTAAAAACTTGATCCCCAATTGTGGCCTCTCCCTACCCCAGAGTTCATGATTTGAACAAAATTGAATCTACACTACCTGATGATGCTTTCATATAAACATGATTAATCATGGCTTTTCTGTTCTTTAGAAGAAGATTTTTTCCTATATATTCTATGTAAAACTTTGATCTCCCATTATGGTCCAATCCTATCCTCAGAGGATCATTATTTAAACAAACTTGAATCTACACAGCCTGAGGATGCTTCCATTTCAAAATGACCATTCATGGCTTTGCTATTCTTGAGAAGAAGAATTTTAAAGTTTTTTTTCCTATGTATTCCTATGTAAAATATTGATCCCCCATTGTGGCCCCTCCCTACCCCTGGGGGGTCATGATTTGAACAAACTTGAATCTACACTACTTGATGATGCTTCTTTATCAATATGACTAAACAAGTCTTTGCTGTTCTTGAGAAGAATATTTTTTAAGATTTTTTCTTATATATTCCTATGTAAAACTTTGATCCCCCATTGTGGCCCCAACCAAACCCAGGGCTCATGATTTAAACAAATTTGAATTTACACTTTGACATACAAGGTTTCCTATAAGTTTCAACTTTTTTGGCCCAGTGGTTCTTGAGAAGAAAATTTTTAAAACATCCCACTAAATTTTCACTATTTCTTAATTATCTCCCATATATTGAGGGTGTGGCCCTTTATTTGAACAAACTTGAATCCCCTTTACCCAAGGATGGTTTGTGGCAAGTTTGGTTGAAATAGGCCAGTGGTTCTGGAGAAGAAGTCGAAAATGTGAAAGTTTACAGACAGACGGACAGCTAGACAGACAGACAGACTACAGACAAAATGTGATCAGCAAAAGCTCACTTGAGCTTTCAGCTCAGGTGAGCTAAAAACAGATAGCAATAGGTCATGACTGACTCAGGTTATCTAATTAGTAATAACATTTTTTTGTGATTACATGTAAGTCAGCTCAGGTGCAAAATATTGCTTATCACTGATATAAATACAACAGTAAAATTTTAGACATAACCATATGTCTGACAATTAAATTCTATATAATAATAGAACTTACCCTCAGCATAAATCTTTCATAGCTTGGCATGGACCTATATGTTTTTGTGTCTGTTCGAAGTGTATACTTTTTGTCCTTGGGGTAAAAAAGAAAATATATGTTAAAAAAAATTGCATTTCAGACTTGTAAAGCAAAACAAACAATATGAAAAATTACTAATTTTACTGATAACATTTAACATTTTCTCCTCTTGTGATTGAAATGTAATGCACATCATTACATGATATTATATGTATTAAATTGCAAGTCTAAAAGCAATGGGATCAGAAAATTTGATTTCTTTTTTAAGAGTTTTACCATAATGCTGGTTAAACTTTCAGAATCTGTTTTTGAAGTCCAGACTTGGCATTTAGGTGTTTACATAGGAGATGAGCTTCAGCCACCATCCTGGAGTGTACATTTAAAATCACATAAAAAAATCACAATCTCAAAATACATTATTTATATTCATAAGGACTGTATGAAAAAGGCATCTGAAAAATAAGTGTTACACCCTTATTGCCCTAAAAGATAATTTATATTTCCTCTACATGTTTTGTAAAGAAATACATTGGGTGGGTGGAACTTTTTCCATCAAGGGTTTTATTGCATCTTATTGGTAGGCTAAAAAAAATCTTACAATAAATATTTTTTAAAACAGTATGTTTTATTCCTCACCTTAATTTTTATATAATGTGCCAGTGTTGATTCACGCCTGGGCTGGGGTGCTGACCAAGACAGTTGACTGCGTCAATAATTTCGTACATTATGTTATACACTAAAATAAAAGAAACACACCCGTTAGTTTACATGCAACACAGTCTGAAATATAAAGTAAATAAATAACTGTTGATGTTATGTATATTCCTCACCGTTACTCCTAGCCTAACTCCAGATCTACACTGTCTTGCAGACGTCAGACTTCTTACCAGTGACGTCACCCGTTAACGTAAATAATAATCGGAGGTGAACATTCCGGAACGTACATTTTACATATTTAGTGTTATACGGACGCTACCAACTGTATAATTATGTAATACCTATTTAGGTGAATACCATTTGAGTTCTGTTGTGAAATTATCGTGCTTTTCTTTTTTTTTTCAAATTCAGCTTTTGCTCCTGAATTCGGAATGATTATATCTACCGATGATCGAGTTCAATTTTATGTGCCTCTACCGATATCCGATATACATATTACGAGATTGGTGTACTTGTATGTAGACTATGTTTTACTGCTCTAAGAGTAAATTATACACCAATGCGAACTGATTACTCCATGTCAGACATGCAAGTGGACGTAAGGTAAACAATGTGAAATAAATTGGAACATTAAAGACGCAAAACACGCACAACAAGTCAACAATGCACACACCTGTGAGCTTTCAGAGGTGATTGGGTTTTAATCATCATTATCATAGATCATGATATGATATTATTTTTTTAAAAAAAAAAAAGTTAAATCTTTAAAATATATTACAGTATAATGATTAAAATCCACGCAACTTATGATCTAGGGTCCCATTTAAAGAGGGATTTTATACTTGGACCAAGTTGGTCGCAATACTCTGTTTCATGAATTACAGGTTATTGATCAGGTCCGGCACAATCTCCTGATTAAGCTATATAGCTTGATTTAGCTATATAGCTTTATTAAGCTATTCAGAATAGCTTGATTTAGCTATTTTATCACACTTTTTTCTCAAATGTGTTATTTTCCAAGTATGTACAAAAAGTCGCACCTTGGTGCAGTGATGATATTCAACCTTGAACTCTTATGAAAATAATGCATGTAAAAAATCACTCATCAAATTGCGTTTCCTTAAGTGACTTTGTACTCAAAGTTCTAAAAGTTTTGGGGGCTATATAAAGCAATTGATACAGTTACCTCTTCAATTAAATTATAAAGGAGGCCAATTATGGTCAACAAGATAATTGATTGGTAATAATTCAGTACAATGAGAAGCAATCATACTTATCCATGCCTCAACTCACACAAGGTAGTGTACAGTTACCCAAACAATGGAAATTCATCTTTTGCTTAAAAGTATTCAAATGCTGCAATGTTAGAACTATCTTTGATTTGGGTCGTTGATTTGATAACCCATATTACATATGAATAGTCAAATACTTGCGACTTTTTGTCTATTTTGTACAAATAACATTTTTGTGAAAACCTGCATATAAATAGCTTTATCAAGCTATTTTGAATAGCTTAATAAAGCTATATAGCTATTTCAAGCTATAAAGCTTAATCAAGAGATTGTGTCAGACCTGTTGATTGTTAAACATTATCTTGATTTAGTTCTCCAAATTCACTCTGAACTATTAAGTAAAAAAAAGTATTTGGTCTGAGGTGTACTTTTGTACAAAAAGTTCCTGTTACAGTATTTGAAAATGTCACCAGTTTAAGAATATTATATAGTCCCAGCAACAATAAAACTTTTAGGGATTTTTTTCACTTGTTGACAAAAATTAAATAATAATTTTACTAATTAATTAAACGAATTAAAAAGGATTGAATTTAATTATAGTTGACCTACATTTATCGTATACATGTATGTAAAAGTACCATTAATATAGAAAATATACAGCCTTCTCAAACACAGCCAGCTTTTCACACACATGTAGAACAATTTTTATTAACCTACATGTAACATAGCTGATAACACTCGTACTTGTCATTAATGTACATGTAATGTGTGGTTTTTAATACATGTAAACCATGCATATATTAACGTATGTATAACGTGTGGTTGATAATAAATGTAAACCCTGTGTGTGAAATATGTGTAATGTGTGGTTTATAATACACATGTAAACCGTGCGTTTATTAACGTATGTGTAACGTATGGTTGACAATACATATGTAAACCACATGTTCATTAAGGTATGTGTAACGTGTGGTTGACAATACACATGTAAACCATGCGTTTATAAACGTATGTGTAACGCGTGGTAGCACATACCATATGTAACACGTACATGAAACGTACGTAACACATACGTGTATTCCAACCGCACGTTTCACGTACGTTATGTGAAACGTATGTTGTCACACGCATGTTATCCATACGTTATACCACATACGTGTAACATGCGGTTGGAATACACGTATGTGTTACGTACGTTTCACATACGTGTAACATATGGTATGTGCTACCATACGTTACACGTACGTGGCACAATTAGCTGTGTAGCATATATTTGCCCGGAAGCTTGTGGATAGTTGTGTTCTTCTTTGAAATATTTCCAACGATTCTTTAAGAAGTGAACATTTGTTTTGTACTCTGTATTTATGATTATGTTACGACCTCGTTGATCTGACAGACAACTGTTTACGTGTTGATGTTAAAATTATGACAAGTAGCATGCAATTAGTCAAGCAGATACAAGTTTTACTACATATTCATAATTTTCAAAATTATGTTCATTTGAACATCTAACTGATCTTTGTCTTTTTATGATATCTAGTTAAAGGCTACTCATCGTTTCTTAGGTCACAATCTAGGACGACCTATTTCGAAAACTTAAGCTCTGAATCGTCCTAAATAGATCTTCTGTATCATATTAGACAAGTTTGCATATATATATATATATATATTTTTAAATATTTTCATTTTTTTGGCCACTATCTTAAAATTCCAACTTAGAATGTGTTGATGGATTATATGACGAAAGCTGCAATTCGCAATGTGGAAACTGCATCCAAGGAATTTGTGACAAGAAAAAAGGAACCTGCACTAAAGGCTGCTTACAGGACTGGCAGGGCCTATGTGCAATGGCAAGATTTAATATTTTTTTTTCATTTATTAGAATTCTTGAGTGATATTAAATAAGGAGAGAGATAAAAGTTTTTTTGGTAAAGATTTTGAGATAGACATATTATTATGAGAACATGAGTGTTTGTTAATTTTTATGCTGTCTTCCATATGATATAATTTTATAATTGTCTCATAATAAGAATATATAATTACTCAAATCAAAAGTGTCCTTTGTTCAACATCAACTTAAAAAAAAAACAACAACTCAAAAACAAAGAAAAAGGGAGGAAGAGAATAAGGCTTTACAAAAGAGAATGACGAAAAACAATTCGTTCAAAAAATCAAAATATGTGTTTCATCAAACTGAGTTTTGAATGAAATTTGCTTAAAATGAAAAGAGTGGTATCTGAAAACTTCAATATTATTTATCAATTAGATTATATCTTGTTAAAAAAGAAGTGATTATAACTTGCTTTTTAGTTTATACAAGGGAATCAAGAACAGGTGGTAAGTAATTCTATAATTTAATTAATCTTGTTTTATAAATAAACTTTTTTAACACCGAACATTAAGGATATAATTAGTGAATATATTTGTCTTTATGCCCAATGGAGACATATTGGTATCGGATTTTATTTTGTTCAAAACAACTTACTAACACTGTACAACCAACGTTTCTCTTGTATTTGATATAAAATATATGAAAAAAAAATGTTACTTCGAAATGGCAACATTGAAGAAAATGAATTAAGGAATAACTGTCTTATTTTTTGGATTCATGATGTGATCAATCGAGTGGCTTGCATGATAATTTGCATAAACGCCGAAGGCGTTTATGCATAAAATTATCACGCAAGCCAATCGATTGATCATCGTCATGAATCCAAAAAATCTGACAGTTATTCCTTATATTTACATGCTCCTGATTGCGCAAATTCCCGTGCTAATAGCCCCGCTTCTGTCTCTATTTGTCCCGCCCCGCACGTGATTTTTTTTAACCGCGCCTATCGATGAACCAGTAGATTTATGTAGAAATAAAATATTTTTACAATTTGTAATTTTATCTCGGACAAAGACATTGGAAATGTAAATATTGAGGGATGTAATCTACTTTTTTGGTACAAACCATTGTTTTTTTTTTTTTTTTCAGACGAGTTTTCTAAAACGTCCTTGGTCGTCATCTCCGTCATTTCAACGCTTCTTGGAGTAATACTTCTCAGTACGCTGACTATAGTTATATATCTCAAAAGAACAAGGTGCCTTCAGCAGAACGCAAGAGAACACTGCAATACTGACCAACCGTCTAGCAAGGATACAGACCAAAATTATGATGTGTTGGGAGGCATAAAAGAAGATCACCATTACACATCCATTGATTCCATTAACAGGGAATCAGTCTACCAGGAAATACATACTTATAGAAACACTGATTTTAATGAAGTCATATAAAAACTTTCCCTTATTTTATACTTATTTGACAATGTCATATAATGACCAAACCCATAGGAGTCCTGATAAATGTAAAAACAAACAAACAAACAAACAAACAAACAAACAAAAAAACTATATATTCCTATTGAAAATTACAGTGATACGTATTTCTCAAATAATGATATTAAAATGATTTTTATCTTTATTTTCTCTAGTATTTAACAAGTCTTATATTATTATCTTATATTCTTAATCTTATATTTTTCGTCTGTTTACTTCAAATAAACTGCATTGAAATAAATTGAAGTGCATGAAATGTATATGTATACATATGTATATTCTACGCATATTTATAATTGAGAAAAAATAGTTTTGGAAATAGGACATTTTTGTGCTGTTTTGTCCCCATCTTATTACAAACATATCTTTTAAACTGTTCAAACAAGTTTGCAAGAAAATAGTTGTACATGTATATGCTGAGCAATGGCGTACATATGTGTTTTGAAGTGACAGTCGATTGAGGTTAAATAATAAAAAAAAAAAAAAAAAAAAAAAAAAGAAAAAGAAAAAAAGAAAAACCACGTTTATTAAGTTAAACAAAAATAATTAATCATGGAAATTTCTTTTATTTTTTTTCTTCAATTAATTAATTAATTAATCGAGTTTGAAAATGAAGCAGACAACTGATTGATGAGAGAAAAACA